ATGTCAGAATATCTTAAATTTTCACGCGTATGAGCGTGCTCCTATTTCACCATGCCTCCTGCTGATACCAAATCTTTGTTTTTAATTTATTTTTTTACTATATTTTTTATTAATTAACAATTAATTACTTAAGATGTCATGTGGAACATGGTTTGATTTGAGAACTGGCAGTAAATGTGAAATTAGAAGCATTTAATGTATATTTCTTTTTTGACGTTCTAAGTGTACTTTGTGCTACCTATATGAATAAATGATTTTTGATTTTGATTTGATTCGATTCACAATACAGAATTTATCTACAGAGTCCTTGTAATAATAATCTTTATTCATTTTTCTCACAAAAACTTAGTTCATAACCAAGTGACAGTTATATATATATTATTCTAAAAAATAATTTTCCTTCTTCTATTAAGGGAAAAATGCTAGTTTGTGTGAGTCTGATGCCTTTTAGTGAGAATAAACAATCATTATTACATAGGCTGCAACGTTAACAAAATTTATTTATAAGGATATACATATAAGGAAACCACATGGGATGTGTGGGTGGGTGTGTGTCAGTGTGTTAGTGTGTGTACGTGAGTGTATGTCTGTGTATGTATTATCACTTAAATGCCAAGCGCAATCTTATATAAAAGTCTTTGTAGTTAATATATTTTTATTAATTTCCTAATATGTACTTATGTAGTCCGTAGGTGTAATTGTTACAGCGATGTGGTTATCAAAATATCCTAAAATTGCAACTACAACCTACACTAGTCGCATATTTGGTTAAATCGCAAAACAAGTCCTCGTATATAAAAAGTTAGGCGAAGGTCGCGCGTCTTTTTAAATCATTTTTAATTTTTGAAAAGAGCAACATACATAACAACATAATATCTTGCAAAGTATTGTTCATTTTATCAGCCATTTTATGGAAATATAAGTACATTAATCATATCCAAAGATACCAAGTAGCACTTTGCTCTGACTAATTGAGGAATGCGAGTAATGCACTTGAATCAATAATGTAGCGAAAGCTATAGAGCCGTATTTAATAGTATTTTATCCTTAGACGTATTGATCGTTGACATTTTCTTGAATCACTTAAGTCTAAAGACTTTTAACAATAAAGCGATGTGAAGGTTATTTATTACTAAATTTACGTTTTGATTTATGATATATATAGTAAATTTCGTTTATTTTCTATCTACGTTTTCGTTTATTTTTGATCGGTTCGAAAAAATTGTAATCTCAATATATATTGAATGTTACCATATTTCATTTAATGAATCACAAGTTTGTCTTTATGAAATTCATTCATTGTATATTAATATGTTAAAATTAAATTAAAAAGTTTGCGGAAAATATTAAAATGAAAAATGTACTAAGTTCAGATCTAATGTTTGCCCTAGTCTAGATTGAACACAGCTGTGTTACGCATGATACAATTTAGTACATAATGAGACTGGTGAAGTATATAATTATATTCTTGCCATTTAAAATATATGTGTTACTATATACTTATCTCTCTCTAAGACATAAGCTTTTAGTGACATTTATATATAATATTTATATGCCCTATGTTAGGCATGGGATACATTGTTTGGATATTATTGACACCCCCCCATGTAACGCGCCGTAACGTTTTTCTGTACCCTAGTACAGTACTGTACTGTAAGTATAGTAAAACGTTTCGTGACCACCTAGTGACTCTTTATACCTAATAGTTACTGGAAAGTCAAAAATAATATTAACAATAACGCGTAATTCAATCCCCGCCCCACATAGTAACGTTTTACTAAAGGGAACCCCCCCTCAATTCGTTACGTATTACTTGATCCCTTGAGTTGAACACAAGATCGTTAATGACATGTAGGTTTACAGAAGCAGTTAAGGCTCTATAATTGATTTAATAAGAAACATATCTGTACAAATGACATTTAATATAACGAAGAAGCTTTTGTTTTCCCATATTAGTTTCCCTATTTATGAACCTGTCCTCGCCGTTCCTTTAACCATGCTTTTAATTTACAGATAGAAAGAACTAAGCGATTGGTAAGACATCTTTAATCTTTACAAAAATATTTGATTTATTATATCAGATTTATAAACCGCTTGGCTCCTATCCCTACAAATTTATTGGTCCGATTGCTGTTCCAATAACATATCAATAAGGTAAAACATTTTCCTTAAGGTTCTGTCACGAGTTATTTAGCCAATTTGAAATTATATCGTTTTATAATTAGAACAACATATATGCCCGTAAGGGGAGGCCCGTATGCCCTGAGGAGCAGAAACATGTATCATCGTATGGATAGGTTCAACCAGTTAAATAATAGGTTGGGGAAAAAGTTTATTCGCATTTTTCAAGAAAATTCACAACATTATTTAATATAGCTTATTTACATTTAACTAAAGTATGTAGGTACCATTTTGTTCGATAACTTTTTGCCATCTTGTAGGTAGGGATATGATCCCATTGCTATAGAAATTTTGGGGCTTCTGATCAAAATACCGCGACAATTGGTTTTGGCAGTCCTCTCGTGATGTTAACCTGACACTGCCTAAATAATTCTGAAAAGACCGAAACAGGTGGAAATCTGAAGGTGCAAGGTCAGGTCTATACGTCGGATGCATTAACACCTCCCAGCCAAGCTCTCTTAATTTTTGCTGAGTGGCTAAAGATGTGTGAGGTCTAGCATTATCTTGATGAAAAACCACACCCCTTCTGTTGATTAATTCCGGCCGCTTTCTCTCAACTCCTTGCTTTTATCTCATCAGTGTTTCGCAGTAGAGTTCAGAATCGATGGTCAAAAAAAATAAAAAAAAATATTTGAAAAAAAATATTGAAAAAGCTTAAACCAAATTTGTGCTACTCTCACAGACACTGCACTAGGTCCATAAACATCGCAAAATTTTTTCGCGGCTTGCGTTGCATTTTTATTTTTTACCTTTTTTGTAGTAAAATTTTAAAATGTATCGAATTTCTTCATTAGATTCACTTATCTTGACGGTACGAAAAATAAATAAAAATCACACATTATCCTAATATGAATTTGGAATTTTCTTCTTTAAAATCTCAACTTTCAATGATAACAAAAACAGGCAAATACATACAGTATGGCCAAAGAGATTTTATTACAAGTTCATACATAGTATAATGCGAAAAGACTTTTTCCCCAACCTAATATGTCATTCAATATGCATATGAACCTGGATGGTTTCCGGGCGAATACAACGACGCATTTATTCTTACAAATAATTTTATTTTCCTGGATTCCGTTTTTATTCCTAACATGATTCATAAAAGTTCAAGCGCACAGGCGCTATTTAAAGATTTAAGTTTGCACCTGGTAGATAGTACCGGTGACGAATAACGAATTCAACGAATAAGTATCGCAATACAGCGAGGAAATGCTGCCAGCGTTAAAGGTACACAGCCACAGGGACCACTCTTTAAATATGTTTTAATTTTGTTTTTATTATTAATATGTAGGTTAAGAAAATACTGTATATTTGATTGTTATGTTGAGTTACATGAATAAATAAAATTCGTAAAAATAAGTAATCTAGGCTGTGATAAAAGTTACTAAGCGTGACCGGGTAACTTAATAGGAACGGATGAGTGTGGTCGCATTACAGCACATGTTGTTTGAATGGGTTAAAAAAAATGCATAATTTCTTTGTTCTCAAGATCCAAGGTCAGACTTCTCTCATGTATGTCGAATAAGCGTTGAATAAAATAAGTTACGAGTAATGTGTACGTCGGTAAATTATAAAGATTGAAACGAGATCAAATTGAAAGTATTTTACAAGTTTCCATATTTGAAAAGCAAGTTATATAAGTGTACTTGAGTGCACTCGTACAAATTTGGTGTTGGTTTACGACCAAATCAACGAAAGTGCTTACGTCACTTCGTCACACTAGGAAGTAATCAGCCAACTGAGTTGTACGTTTATAGATTTGTATTTAGCTTAAAGACGAGCCAATAGAGCATCTAATACCATTTATTTAGAGCTCATCTCAGAAGACAACGTGCCAAAGGCCAAGTCATTCGAAAGTTAGAAAGTAAGGATGCACCGTTGAAATTGTGAAATGAAAACGCAAATTAGACTTCAACTTTATGAATATACAATAGAAGAATTTGTAAAAAATATATTTACATTTTACATACTTACTCGTTCACAAGTTTTCTGGAACTCTTGCAAATTAACTTTTTTTCGTATTTATCTGAAAAACGAGTGTATACATGTCTGAAGACATTGTTTAAAATTAAAATAGCTGTAATTAGCCTTTGATTAATACTGTACAACAATTCTCCATTCGTTTTGGGTAATAACTGTTTGAACTTTGAGTACCGCGGCGGGATATTTTTTAATTTACAAAGTATTTTAATATGTAATATTGTTTTATTGGAATATTAAATCACCTGACTACTGATGACCCTTTGGATATTAGCATAATAACACGCTGACCCAAAAGAAAAACGAAACATGCAAAGCCTAGTTTTAGTAACAACTATATAACCAAAAGATTTGTTGTATTTAATCTAAATCTTTTTAGGAAAATAATATTAAGATTGTTCATGAATTTGTGTTACGCAGTGCCTGCAAATACTCCAATCGAATGTCAAAACAAGAAAAGGAATGGTATATATTGAAATAAGATACAATTCGTTTGATAAAACTGTTTCTTTCTTCGAATATAACTGTGCAAACTTGTAAAGTAAAAACTTTTTCCAATAACAGGGTCAAGTTAACTGTTCATTGAGAGGTCATGGCTTATTCATGGTGGGAATGTGACATTGGTTTCCACGTGTTCTGTTGCATAGGAACAAAAGGCAAACAAAGCCTTAAAGTGAGCTTAACGTTCGCGGCATTCGTTATTGCACTCCGTGACACTTGACTTACTCTTTTTTGTAAAATATACTTTGTTCCAAAGCTTTTAAGATTGTAGGAAAATCTTTTAGAAAAATGACTTCAAAAGTAGTTTGCTAATCAGCTGTCTAAACAGACAAGTTATGAACAAGCACTCTAGTTCATTAGATCATGTGAATTGGTGGGATCCAGGTAGCTGGAGTCTAGGTGCTGGTAAAACTTTTTCATCAGTGAATTTAGAAACCAGTGATTCTTTAAAAATAAGAAATGGATGGCTTACCTTACCAGAACCGAAGGTAAAATGGTGATCATTTATTCTTTTGAATATTTAATTAATATACTGGTATACTAAGCTGAAACACTTGAATATTTTAAAACAACAATTATTTCCCAGTCTAGCAGCGCATTATGCGCCATGAAGCAAGCCGTAAAGTAATGTCATTGAATAATACATAAACTAGTACAAGCTTTTAACAAAAATAGTGAAATATTAAAGTGCGATTTTTGTATTCCTATTTATTTTTGTGATACTCGTAAGTAGCTTATCACAAAACTTACCTGCATTTACTCGTATACATATACAACGGACGTGTTATATACTAGGAAACATTCGTCATTGGCCTTGACTTAAAAGGAACAATGGTATATTTCATGGAAATTTTATTTATACATCACACATTGTTAGATATACAATGTAAGACTTAAGGCGGGTATTCTAAAAACGTTATATAATATTGATGTACATGAAAACAAATTTTACTGCTTTCGTTCCGTTTTTTACCAAGTTAAGGATATTTTTAACCAGTTTTGTAAATTTCTCCAGCTCCCCTTAATTTTGTTTTCAATTAAAATTGCAAGCAAAACTTAATGATACTTCACAACCGAGTAATGCAAAGTTAGTCAGCGCCCGTAGGCGAGTGTTACATCACATCTCAAGTTTAACATACGGCCTCGTGACTCACAGAGTGAATACAAAACTACTTGCGAATTGTGAACAATGTTTTTAAACAAATGAAGCTTTATATAGGCCGAATCAAATGTTCAAACGATCGTACTATATTTTCCTGCCCAAAACGGGAAGTTCCATAAAATATTTGAGCATAATAAAATATGTATATTTCAATATACTTTTTAGTTTTTATTATTATATACCTTGCGAGTTAGTTTTGTATTGTTTAATTAGTGTTCACCAACACATTCCAAGGTCAAAATCAACCTATTTTAAATGACAGGAAAAGCTCTGTAAAGCTTACTGCGCAGGGAGGCACTGGATTTACTCGAAGGTCTAGTGATAATGGAGTCCCACTAAAGGAATACTCGCATGATGTAAGCATTACTAATAATCCTATCAATCTCCGGTCATAAGCAGATCCAGGCAAGTCTAAGTTACTAGCTATAACTAGGTAAATACAGCTGATAAGCTAAATCTTAGTTAGCATTTTCTTTTACTAGTAACAAAATTTTATACGCCTGTCTCACGTTTGTGCTCATCGTTTAATGGTCCTGTTACCAGAATGTGTCGGGTTTACAATAAAATTGTAATAAAAAAAAACTCGATGGACATTTTCAGCAACCCCATAGAGATTTAGCCGTTTTCATAAGTATTTGATTGTCGTCATTTTAACGTGTATGGTGTTTGACAGCATAAACGAAATAGCTAGCTTGATTTTACTTGACAAAAACCGGAACTGCTATTCTTGAGTTATCAAATAGCGATTGTCTATCTAGTGAAACCAGTTTCTATATGCAGTGAGATCAATGACAGATGACTCATTGATTGCGAACTTGCCATAAATGGTATGTTCACTGCCTTGACGTACGTATACGTACGTACGGTAATTACGACATCTGTAGCATAAACAAATTAAAAGTTTAATATTAGTTATATGACATATTTGATATTTCTCAACTGTGTCAACCTGTAGTTAGGTCTTCCATTCAATATAGTTTAGTCTGTTTAAATATGAAGGTGCAAATCTGTTCGCCGATTTAACATAAATAAAATTCAGTATTTAACTTAAGTGTATATAAACAAGAATTTTATATATTTCTTATTTAAGTCGACGTTTCGTTTCTTATTTTAGGATCTGTCATTGCTAACATTCGAGTAAAATAAGTTGAATTTAGAACTAGCTGCCTAGGTGAACTTCGTTTCGCCTTATTACGATTTTTTTACATAGCCCACATTTGGTATGTAGCTAAATACCAACACACGAACATTTTGCTATGCTACCCTATAGAAACAGTTCGCGTTTTCGCTTCGGGAATGAAACCCTAAGTACTAAATAAAACTATTTTTTTCAAGTTTTTTTTTACTTTTCCATAAAGAAAAAAGCCTTTAAAAAATTCGATCAATCGCAGCCGTCTTCGAGTTTCGCGCTTATCAATATACGTATATATTGCGATAAGTTTTATTTATACAGATTAAGAATATTATTATGACGTTTAAGTTTACTCACGGACTCCTTGTCTTTAAAAAACTAAAATTTTCGTATAGTTTGAGACTTGTACGTATGTAATTTTATAATGCTCATTACAGATAATGGTTACTTTTGATAGTTATAATTAACGGTTATTATTACGGTTAGTCCATCCAATGAGTTAATTGCTATTCCGGGCTTTCCCTAATCTAAGACGTATATACTGAGATGTATATTGTGCCTTGTGGTTTTATTTTGCTAAAAGTAACCTTGTGTAAATCTATTTTATCAATTTGCCACCCACAAGTGACAAATGATAATTTGAATCGGGAAATGGTTCTCTCTGCGTTTGTTTTGTTTGGGGCATTCTTTGTGTCGTAATTATTATTAAAGAAAGAAGAGAATCAGCTGTTTGAGCGTCATCAGCGTGAAACAATTTCGCTTAAAATGTACGTTTAATTTTATTTGAGATGGATCTTACCGTTGAGCGTCGAATTGTAAAAAAATATTTATTTTTATGTCTAATGTTTAAAATTTGAAAATATAAATTCTAAAAATTATACAGTTTTATTAGATTTTATAATATATATGTACATATATAACGATATAATTATACTATACCGTCTAGTATCAAAATCAAACAAATGACGATATGTCCCTTGTTTACAATTAAACAAGAACTTTTCAAATGTTGCTGCCCGTTTTCGACAGATATTGCTGTCAAGTTGGATTAAGTGGGATCCACATCACAGGCATACTTTTTTCTTAAAGGGAGGTTTCTATAACTATTTACATTCATCTATGTCACTTCTTTCTATGTATTTTTTGTTTAAAGTAGTTCCTGATTATTGCTGGTTAGAAAACGTGATATTAAATCACGTAATGTCGTGATAGTTTATGGGATAAAAAGTCACCGTTTCTATCACAGTTCCTAATCAGGTATATTTAACGTGTAAAGAATTAAATCCAATAAATGATATGTAATGCGGACTATGACCGTAGAGTCGTGTGGTTAGCGCCGTTAATTATCCATAGAACCTGTAGGCCTATTCACACGACTACAGCCGAGTAATGAAATAAACTTATCAGAATTTTTCTCAGATTTTTTTTTTATTTATAGCAACTTTACACTTCTTTTGTGTTAAAAACTTTTTTATTTGGAGTGAGACTAGGATTTTTTTTTGTTTGTTTTTTTTAACTTTGAAAAAATATCAATGACGTGATTTATCCAGATTTCAACATTTACTTATGAAATATTTTACTTTGCATTTTCTTTTGCGAACTAGCGAACTGTGGAATCGGCTCCCGGGGGGGGTCTTCCCTCAGAGATACGACCTCCAAATGTTTAAAAAGCGAGTCTACTCCTCCCTCAAAGGCCGGCAACGCACCCACTAAAAGTGGGTGTCTATGGGCTGCGCAGACTGCCCGTTTTGGTCGTCCCGCAAGTTCGTTTGCCCCCCTATTATATAAAAAAAAATTTTTTTGGAGTATAAACCAATGCAATGAAACACGTTTTAATTAAGAAATATGTACCAATCCTTTACAACATTCGAATACTACTATAATTGTGTAATAATATCTTACTCAAATTTAGAATAGTATTAGGATGTCAATGAAAAGTAAATGGTATAGGGCTGATTAGATAAAGATAAAACTGGCAATAATATTTTCAAGAAAATGTACACATTATAATTTGATTATAATAGTTACAGCTTATGTGTGAATCAATGATATTCTAAGGCCAATCAAGACTTAAACCTGTTTAATAAATAAATGAACCGATCGAAAACAATAAACGCGGGCGGTAGACAGGTTGACATGCGCAGCGATGCGTAGGAGTCGACCTCTATTGCAAATCTCGATCACTACCTAAAAAGCTAACTCAGGCTTCCTTTTCCTTATTTTTATAAAGGCAGTAAAAGGTCACAATTACATAAAAGTTTCATCATTTGGAAATATTTTTTCCACGTGAAAATGATTAAGTTCGTTGAACAACTTTTAATTTAATTTTATTTATATTTTTATTAATTTTACTATACACCTTTACACAAGACTTCATTACGTACACTGGTTTTTTTCTACTAAGTATTTATTACATTCCTTTTCTTTCGGAGCAAACTAGCTGCTGTGGTCTCTGGAAGAATGACCAGCGCTGTGGAACATTCTGCTCCTCAGCATAATGCTGAGCCAGGGCCAATTACAGCCACAGCACACACGCATTACACACTCGAAACGAACCGAATCAGAAAAGGGATTTTTTTACTGCTTTTGATATCATTTCTTTTTTTTTTTTTTATTATTGTTATTTTGTGTGTTTTTGTTTGTAATAAATGTTATGTCTATGTCTAACAAATAATGAACTAGAAAACTTTTTACAACTTTTCAGGCACGTTTTCAACAAAAGCAGCTACAAGAGAAGGAGATGAAAATAGCATCGTTATACGAGGCTCAACAGGCAAAAGCGTTGGATAGAGTACGTCATTCACCGAGCAATGGTACCGCCCCCACCACCAAACCACCTCCTACACATCCACCCGGAAAGGTACTATTTACATTCTCAATACAAATTATGATCTAGGACTTGACATTGAACTGTTTGAAGTTATACTTCTTTTGGCGCGTTAGGGAAAAATTACGAGAATTCTCTCGTATGAGAGTAAATTTAAACAATGCGCGCGCACACCGTCACAAAAAACTGACACCCTGAAGTGAGCTATAGTCAACATTTTAGTTTTTTCTACAAACGTGGAATAAAATTTTTGAAATGATTTTTATCTTGTTACGCCAAAGAAGTATAACGTCTAACGTGTAAGTACACACTCGTTTTTTTTCTTAAGGCTCTACATAAAGATTGAGTGGTATTTGCTCCACTAGGTTATTGTTTTTACGCACAACGAGTTAGCTAAACCACTAGGTTAGCATTGCTTTCAGGAAATAAACAAAAGGTCTTAAACGTAGACTATCACGACGCTACGTAAATAGCCAGCTATTTTAATAGCACTCAATCAGGAATAACTCCGTAACGTAATGTGTTACGGTATTTTATAATAGACAATCCATTTATGATCATGCATAAAAAAATAACGAGGTACTCTCTTAATCATTGCGATTCCATGCTTTTTTAATAATATACAGTTAAATAAATTATTTCAAAATTGTCACCAGGTTCGTCAAATGTTCGAAGAACGCCGAACCAAAGCCGGTATCGACAAGAGTTATCCTCTTCAGCCGATCCACAATACTGAAAGGGCACAGCCAAGGAAAGCTATACCCAACGGCTACACGAAGATCGCCAACACGACATCCAGGCTCGCGGTGGAAAAGAAAACGTCAGTGCGAACACATGGCACATTCAGTTCCCATAGCGTCAAAAAACAGATTACCCAGGTATGGATACCCTCAAAATATATTATTTCTGTAAACCAATACCCGTAAATATTAAGAGGAATATTCTGCCACCTGTACAAATGATGAAGACCACCACAACCTATTTTACGTTGTCTACGAAAGTGTTCCAATTTATTCATATTAATGTCTCAAAGCCGTAAAAACTATTTCTAAAATGTATTATGAACAGGTTGTTATTGAAGTCGTAATTTCTAACTACAGCTTCTTTGCATGTAACCGAAGATTTCCGCTGACATTGTAGTCAACCTTGCGAGAGCCTATTGTGATGTGTTACTGGTTTAACCACAAGTTTATCCGATGCGAGCAGTAGTGCGGTTTACCGCTTTATACTAATTACACCCAGTGAAACCATCACTGTTGTTTATTACAAAGAAATTAAAAGAACCTGTGTTTACTATACACAACCCTATAGGATTTGTTTCATATTTGTAGTTGTTAGTTAAAGTTAATGCGTAAATAAAAATCTGTTGTTATATTTGATGAGCTTTAGTATCTGGTTACTAGCCGGCCTGACTCGTCTTCGAAAGGCTGTTTTTTTTAATATTTTCCACTTGAATAGTAAAATAATTTTTGAAATCGGTTTAGTAGTTTTTGAGTTTATTCGTTACTTAGCTGTGCTCTGTGGTATTAATAAGGTTGTAGCAAGATGTTCTAAATAGATTTTTAAATCCAAGAAATATAATTTTTTGTACCACATATAACTATTTGAAAATTTTAAAGTAAATACAATGGTGAAAGATTTTTTTTCAAATCGTTCCTCATTATAATATTAGTATAGACCATCTATTCAACAAAAAAGTCTTTGAGTTTCTACCTAAATTAAATACAATAAAAGTACCAGCGTGACTCTGTTTTCTTAATCCTCCCATCGCATTTAATTTCCATCATGACATTACAAACTTAAAAATACAAATGTATTCTCTTCATATAAAGAATTTTGATTGTAGCGTTTACATTGATGAAGCAATAAATAATATAAATTAAGAATTGTGGGATATGGTGTGTGGGCAACTACAGGTTTTTAAAATATATTTCAGGTTCAAAATGTGAACAACAATATTATAGTTAATGGCTCGGGTGATCTCAACCACAATCATGAAGTCGATCTCAATACTGTTACAAAATTGGTAAGCTTTGATCGTTTTTTTCTATTTTAAATATATTAAAGGAAGTTCATTAATTACATTTAGAATTGTCACTAAATAAAATAATTATAAATTTGAGGAATACTTAAATGAACCTAATCCTTGGGATTGATTTGCTCCAGTTCAAACAATTTGTATGACTCAAAACTTAGCGATTAAAAAGAGTGGCGGAAAGTTTCTTGCCAGTTCTTCTTGCCCGCTCTACGCCCTTGACTTGCGAACTGGTAGTGAATGTAAATTTACAATTAATTTAACATATTTTTTAACGTTCATAAGTGTACTTGTTTACCTATGTGAATAAAGATATTTTGAGTTTGAGTTTACGTAAAATTCTGTCTATTTTATTATTGGTCGCGCGGCCGTTGTGTTATATCACTATTCGGTAGTGCTTTTTGAATAAAACTGTTATGTTCAGAATTATCTTAATAATTAAACAATTCATGACAAGGAGGGGTAATAATTAATAACTTTTTCTATAGACAAAATGTAACGGCGAAGATCCGATTTCAAGTGATGAGATAGATGGTGTAAAAACAGACTACAATAATAAGCACGACCTACTGGAAAATGAGACATTTCCCCATGCGCTTGCGCCGGTAACTCCCCGTTCCGACGACGTGGACACAAGGACGATTGTCAAAAAGTATGGGTAACTGTATACACTTGCCATAAAATCCATATTAAATTTGTATGAGAAGTAGGTGATGACTGAACAAATTGAATTGATCATAATTACCTAAGATCTAAATTTCATTCTAATGTAAAATTTCTAATTTTGATTATATTTTTGTACTGTATGTAAGTATATTTTTTCTGTCCACAGAACTCCAGCTCAAACCTCAATAAAAGCAAGCAAAGTCGTGCCTAAAACAAGTAGTATCCCGCCAAAGAGAACAACAAATGAAAATGTGGTAAGAAAATTTTGATATCTGTCATATGAATTGAACCTTTCTGAATTAAATGTCAAAATTATTTGAACCTATTTGACGTTCCAATATATGACGTGAAATTTGTAAATAATGCTAAATTCTTGTAAATATTATTGAATGAATAATTTTTAAATGTATAAATTAATGGCGTGATTTCAGCAGGCAACAGAAAGTAAGCCCAGAGGGGTCATGCAGAGAGCAAATCCCGTAAGTAAATTAAGATTATACATACTTTGTTTCCCATTGAATTCCCTATTAAAACATTCATCATCATCAGCCTCTTCATTTGGTCCATTTCTGGACGTAGGCCTCCTCCATTTTCCTCCAGTACTGGCCTCTGTGTATCAACTGAGAGTCAACCTTGAAGATGTCGTCAGTCCATCTAGTTGGTGAGCGGCCGCGCGGTCTTTTGCTCTGCCGAGGTCTCCATTCAAGGAGTCTGCGGGGCCATCGGTTCTTGTCCATGCACGCTATGTGCCCTGCCCACTGCCAGATATATGTTGGGACAGCCCTTTCTACGTCGCTCATGCCGGTCTTCACGAATGGGTTTATTTCGTACGCGATCGCGAAGGAGATTCCAGCATTGCATTTCCGCCGTGCGTTGTGCAAGCGTTATGGTTTCAGTTCCATAAGTAATGACAGCAGGATACATTGACTGAAGACTTTTCATTTGAGTGAGTGCTATAGAGAGGGGTCATTATCTCTCCATTCTCTCCAAAAGCTGCACATGCCTCCGAAATACGTCTCCCATAAAAAATATAAATTTTAATAATTATTTAAAAATTATCAATGTTACTTTATTATTATCAGTGGCGCTACAACCTCTTTAGGTTTTGGCCTCTGATTTCTGAATCTAATGAAACTATGAATGATATTTTAAATTTAATAGGGTAGGCAGGGAGGTGATCAGTCTGACACCCGCCGTCGACTTTTTGGGTCTAAGACATGTCGGTTTCCTCACGATGTTTTCCTTTACCGTTCGAGCAAATGTTTAATGCGCACATAGAAAGAAAGTCCATTGGTGCACAGCCGAGGATCGAACTTACGACCTCAGGTATGAGAGTCGCCCGCTGAAACCACTAGGCCAACTACTCAATGTTACTAATCTGTCAAATTTTATTTTGTAATTTTTTTTATTTATTTCAGGTGCCAAAAAGAACTACAGCGGTAAATATTTTTTTTTCATTTTTATTTAATTTTGCAAGACATTTCAACCTAACCTTTTAAAGGCACCTACACAGTTTGTTTTGAAGAAATTGTAATAATAAACATACTTTTTTATATTATTGTTTTTGTTGCTATTTACCACAGAGTCCACCAGTGCCTAGTGGCGTGAGGAAGCCCAGAGCAAGCGTAACGTCAGCGAGTAAGAGTGGACCGGCCGGGTCGGGAGCGGAAGGAGACGCGTGTGCGGTGTGCGGGCGACACTTTGCGCCTGACCGCCTCGCTCGGCATCAAGACATTTGCCGGAAGACTCACACCAAGAAGCGCAAACCATTTGACGTGCTTAAACATCGCCTTGCGGTACGTATATTTAAACAACAACGCCAATTAAACACGCCCTCTTGAGATACAGGCAAACTGTAACTTATGGATTAGTAAAGTTACTACAGTATAATATTTTAAATACTTAAAAAGTTTTGATGTAGGTATACTATGATTAAAAATAAGTTATTTCGACAATTTCTTTAAAAACAAACACAACACTTCTACTAAATAAGCAGAGGCGATGCAGAAAATTGGTGTAATATATAATTGCGGGACAATTTGACATTAAACTCGATTTATGCATTACAAGCACTGTCTCGAGGTATTGAACAAATACTTCCGACCCCAATAGGTTTTTTTCAAGTTTGTATCACGGTTTATGCAAAACCCATAAATACATCCTTCTGTAAGCCTCAGAGTCGTAGCTCTCGATATGTTGGATATAGACGTTAAAACTATTTTCAGGGCACAGAAGCTGAGCCCTTCATAGGAAAGCTCCGCAAGGGCACAACCAGCTCAACGAAAGTAAGCAAATCTTTAAACGGCAACTGGCGCCAGAAACACGAAGAGTTCATCCAAGCTATACGCGCGGCAAAACAAGTGCAGGCGCATCTAAGTGCTGGCGGTGAGTTTTATACTATAATGTGTTTCTTATTTTGATGTTAGCCTCTGTTTCTAAAAAATAAAAATATAAAGTAGAATCAAAATTTTTATTGATCATTTGTGCAAGGCACTATCGATTCCCGACTAGTACAGCCGTGGAACTAGTATTTGCCAAAAAAAACTGTATAAACTGCAAAAACTGTATAAATGTGGAACTGATGAAAAACATTGGAATATTTTTGTATTGCCATTGTAAACTAGGCACGGTTGCTGAAACGTTATTAAAATGTATCAGTTGGCGCGTTTTACTCCGGATATAAAATTTGATATATTCCTTTTACAGGAAAACTTAGCGACCTGCCGCCCCCGCCTCCCTCAGAAAATCCAGACTACGTCCAATGCCCTCACTGCAACCGTCGTTTTAACCAAGGAGCTGCCGAACGACACATTCCCAAATGCGCCAACTTCCAATTTAACAAATCCAAACCGGCCGCCCGGCGTAGGTAACCTGCTCGTGTATTACAGATTTAATTCGACTAAATTTTATGTAAGCTTATTGTGATATCTAATCCAAAATTAGCAAAGTTAAAAATTTTGTCCTACATTATTGGTTAAAGCTTACAATAGTTAATCAAATAATATATCTAATCGGCTCGTGAATAAATTAGATATACAGCTGAAAACTATGTATTTTTTTTATATAGCGTATACAGTATTTTAGAGTAGTAGTATATATAAAGTAGTAGACTTAACCAAAATTTTAATTAATTGCTGGTCATGTTAAAAAATCCTTATGACTTTTTCCTATTCATAGAATTAATAATCCAAATAGTGTTTACATTTGTATTATTTTACTTAGTGAAGTCATTTTACGATATAATAAGTCCAAATGCGAATTGACGGGAGCAAGCATACGATTTCAATAGAATGTACGTCTTGTTGGGAAGATCTATTTATGCGGCTCATTTTAGCTTATTTTTTATATTGCTCACTGCGTTTAATAGTTACTTTAGTGATTATTGTATCATGCAGGTTGTGTCGGTTTTCGTATGAATTTTGATACTAAAACAATTTAAATAACTAAGCTAAATAATACAGTATACACATACGAAGACGACCTTGTCATTTGATTTTAAAACTTTGATGTACTTCTTTTTTTTAATATTTGAATAACTGTGAAAGAACGTGATGAAAATTGACGGATATGGTAAATTTATAAATGAAAACTAATTAAATTGCATAATAAAGAAATAATGAATAGTGCCACCAACTTATCTGAATCTGATACGGATTCTTAGCTGCGCAATGTAACCAATTTCAAAAATAAGGGAGTTTTAAAATTTGATGTTTTTTTCTTCTAGTTCCAGTTAAGAATAAGATAAAATTGTGTCATTGATTTATGAAATTGCAAGTCTAAACATTAATTGTACAAAACGCTTATAAAATGTTAACGATGCCATTTTGGAAATATAATTGTTTATAATTACAACTGGTATTTTAATTTAACTATAGTAAACGGTAAAGGTAAAAGGTAGGCTAAACCCTGCACATCATTTTATCTTTTGTTATGTTAAAAGAGGAAAGATTTAAATGTTTACTTGTTAAACGTTGTTTTATAATTTTTTTTAACTATCTACTCTTCTAAAAAATAGGAGTTGATCGTAGAGGGGTGAAAATTAAGAGCTGTAAGCATTTATATTATATGTATGCTGTAGGTATAATAGAAAAATAAAATAAAAATTGGCCAGAAAATCGGTGGAGCCATTTTGGAGGAGTTTAGTTACAAACACCGTGACACGAGAATTATATTAGATAACGAAATAACAAAAACTAATAAACCCATTTCGAAAATTATCAATGGGTAACATAAGCTATATTTATTTCCAAAAATATTTTTTTAAATGACCATGTTTATGATAATAAATACAGTTTCATGCTCAAACATTTATTACATATATTAATGGTTCACACTGTAAAATGCAAATAAATTTTCCATATATGAGGAGTGAAGCAAGTCATACATAACAATTGTTTTATGTAATTAATTTTCTACGCTGGTCCTCGGCACGAAGGACAGAATGAGGGTAGACCTGGCAGGGACCACTATATCGTCTACCCTCACCTCGGAGTGGCTTGTGTAACTGAAAATAATTAATGTCTGATTTAAATTTCATACGGTAGAATTACGGCAGAGTATATTAATTTTATATTTTGTGTAAAAAATAATGGGAAAACCGCGTGTCATACTTGCGTTGTATGACATATCAAGTTAGAACCAACTGCATGAAAGAAATTTAATGGTAGCATATATTTCATATGTAGGTTGGTTTAGATGCAAGTAGCTAATATTGTGAATTATTATTCATACGTACTTTGTAGCGAGCCGTGTATTCTCAGTGAGGTGGTGCACGGTGAGTGTAAGTGGCAGCACTGGCAGAGATAGCGCGCTGAGATCAGCACGAGCCAATTCGCCAGGGTTGTATAGAGACACATAGCCCGTGTGTCCAATCTTCCACCTGAATATTAAATAATTTAAATAAAAGAGAACGCATAGGAGCCTTTTCGACTCTAAGACAAAATGAATTAATAATCGTAGTACAATAGTCGCTTTGTTACTTCGTGTTCAAATTTTAAAATTAAAAATGTTCAATAGGCGAATAACATTCTGCAGACTTGTAAAGTATCAACCAATGCTTGGCTAAGACTTTGATTATATATGATATTTAAAATGGATTTAAAAAGTTTACAACACAAAAATTTAAACATGCTAAAGTTTGTTCAATGACCTGATTGGTGATTTTAAAATGCTTATGTGGTACCTCGAATTAAGAGTTTAATTCATTCCGCAACCTTGTTCGTATCGCAGTCATTTTCCCCATTGAAATTAAATGCCATTAATTTAGCACCCAAAACCCCAACTCAGTTGGGTTTATTAAGTGTTTTTGAATAAGAAAATGATTTCACACTTTAATTCAATGGACATCTTAAGACCCACGGTCATAAAAATGTGATAAGGTTATGTATGTAAACGAACAAAACCAAAAAACGCGAATCCAACCTATCAAAATATTTTCGAAAACGAGGGAAACAAGGAAACAGACTGCGATTCCTTGTATCTCAAACCTTGCTCTCATCTCTAAGCAAAATATCGCCCGCTGGTATACGTATACCATATGTGTTTTGCGTGAAATATCCAACTTATACCTGGTGCAAGCCAGCATGGTGCTGGGAGAGTTGACGGTAGGCGTAGCGCTTATGTTGTACATTCCGTGCTCTATACTAGCATCACTGCGGAGGAGTGATAGAGACGACAACAGTGATATCTGAAATGTTTAAATAAGTTTAACTGTAGGGGGCCTCATAGCCTAGCGGTCTTATTAAGTGGCAGCTAGGTGAGGGGTACCGGGTTCGATTCCCGGTTCGAGGGCAAGTTTTAATTTAATTTAAATTTGTTCTCGGCCTTTGGGAGGGTTGTGCGGTACCGGGCGAGTGCCTAAACCGTACATGGAGGACACGGTCGAATTTCTAAGGCAAAAAGAACGAATTATAAAAATCCTATACTTGAAGCTGGCTAATGCACAAATCGTGCCAGAGCCAACACTCTAATAATCTAAAAGGCCTTACAAAACGCTAAAAAACTACAACATTTATTACGGTAGAAAAAAGACGATCGAACGTAACTTTTCACGTCTAAAGGCTGAAAAATATTTATTGGAATACGAAAATTATTTCAGCTCCTTAGCGAAATAAACACTGGTCAAAGGGTGGAAATAAAAGGCAAAGTAGCTTTTCGTTCGTTATTGGTTAATAGCGATTCTTAATTTTTTTTATTAAACAATTTTAAAGGAGAAAATTGCTTGGAATTATATACATATATATTTTGCATTACATTTTCAAGTTTTTTTTTTGAAAGTATATTAAATGGAGGAGGCGTTTTTGTAAAAAGATTCAAATTGTTACCGTTGACGTGTCGTTATCCGTTGTCTGCAGTTGATCCATTGTTAAGACAGGCGCAGCCGGCATCAACATACCGAATGCAGCCAACTCTATGTTCGGCTCAGGTGAGTTCAACTGAAATTATCAATGGCATGAATAAACAAGAAATACATTCTGGGTTCATGATTAAACGTTATCAGTTTTGTATGCACCACAAGAGCAGCGCTCCGTGGGCGTATTTAGAGCAAATGTAAACACAAATAGCTATTTTCGTAATATAAAAAATCTACATTATCATATTAGCGTTAACTAATACATGATGAAACCATATTAAAATTCGTGCTAATTTCTTGTCAAAATATGAATAGTATGTCGGAAGTCAATAGTATGGAAGCTAAAAGGGTTATGATGTCATCGCTTCAGCAGTCTACAAACTAAACATCAAAGCATTAGACCATTTCGCGGACAACTCTAGAAACTAACTAACTAACAACCCACACAAAATGAAAAATTACCCACCCAAAAGGCATCTTCAACCGACCAGCATAATATATACAGTATATTATATAAAATACATCTTTATGTATTTTGTTACGTTTTTTATATCAATTAACAACAAAAATCACTTCATATAAAATGAAGTTATTTATATTATAGTGAAATAAGATTAACCAAAACTATGTTACCTGTACTAAAGGCCACCTAGCGATCCGTTGATCTAAAGCGAGTACGGCTGCGCGTGCGTCGCTAGCGGGCAACGGGGCCGTGGACACCGGACGTAGAGACGTCGTGTTGCGTTCCAATAGGAACCATTCGGGCTGATCTTGCTCGGCTATCGTGAACACCGACTCGCCTGTAAATAAATATTTTCAGATAATATCGCTTTAGTAACAAATATTAAACTCTCTATAATCAATTTATCCGTAATTTAAGTTAATAAAGTTATTTAAGTGGAAGTTATAAGTATCCTAGTAATAATAATAATAAACCTTTTATTTAAATCACAAAACAGGTAAAAATAAAAGCAGACTGACGCTATAAATGGGCTTACTTCAAAGAGCAGTTTCCTCCAGATAACCCAGACGTAAATAAGCTAAACATTTAAAATAAACTCTATACTAAACGGGATTACCGGGAATCGTGTTCCTTCATCAATATCAGTATGTAGCTTAGATGAAATGATGATGAAATACCCCTCTTTCAGTTCCTCCTACATTTCATAACAACACTAAACATTTATTATTTAATCGGCCTATACCTGCACTATACAACGAGGCTTTTTAACACTAAACATAGTCTTTTATTGACATAACTTTTACATATTTAAAGAATACACTTTTTTACTGAATTGAAGATATGTATTAGACACAACACAAGACATATTCAATTCCCATTCTCAACTCTTTTTAGAACACTATCTGACATTTCACTGATCAAACCGCTCTAAACACACACAAATACACACCCACAGCTTACACGCAATCTCTCTATATTATTTATTCTTTCGTCTGTAAACAATAATTATCTTGTAATATGTTTAGTAAACTCAAAACCAGTACAAAAAACAATGT